ATGTAAAACTGATGATATGCACTATAAACTTTCACTCAATCCACAATAAAACCTCAAATTAAAAAAAAAAAAAAAATGCTTTGCTAGAAATGGAAACAATGTCTATCCATGAATGGCAAGAACATCCAGAACATAGTTTTCTGAATTTGTTTAGAGTGAACACCAAGTCTGTGGACATGGTGAGACCTATAGAGTGTGTTTTTTTTTTAACATGCAATAATCCTAAAGGCGTGGTGTGGTGCTACAGGTTAATGCACTGCAAGGTTGGTTGGAAATTCAAGTTCGGTTGTTCAAACTCAACAGTTGTTCCTTGGAAACCCTGTACAGGGTTGCTATGAGTCAGAGCTGACTCAATGGCAATTAACAACAACAATCCTAAAGCCTGAGTTTGATGTGGAAATACATCATACTTTCTGCTCTTCTCACAAATCTGTGAATATGGGAAAGAAAGAGACAGAAGACTCTCCTTTTTGGGGTCATGGAGCAGTTGTCAATGCTACTCTGTTTAATCAGTGAAGCATCAAAATTGGCCTCAGCCTGGTTGAGCACAGACACCAAGTGCCCTGTAGGCATGTTCTGGCAGGAGAGCTGTCCAGAAGAAATGAAGAGATAAATTCTCCATGGACCAGGGGGCTAAAAGAAAATACTAGTTCCTCCCATGTAATATGTTGGGAAATGGACAGCACTGGGAATGTTCCTGATGATATTATCACTAACTAATGTGACTTCTGTTGTGATTGTACAGAATGAAAGAACAATATGTAAGGTACGGGTCTGGGTGTGTTGAAAGGATAGGTAGCAATGAATCACATTTCATTGAGACCACAGAGGACACTGCAGAGTGACAACTGCTTGAATGCATTTGTGCCACCCAGAGATTGTTTCCATACCACTCCCATCATGCACGTCTGCATCAATCCAGGTCTCCTGGTAGTGGTTAAAGTAGTAACAGTAGGAGCCATAGACACTGGTGCCTTCTGGGCATTGGATCCATGCAGAGGCCAGTTCTGTCTGGGCCTCTTGGCCTGGGAAGGAAAGAAAATAAGAATCACATAACAGTGTGAAGGCTGGACAATAAGCAAGTCACCTATGGGAATCCATTAGCATCATCCAGGCACAGCATAAACATGGAGTCACTGCTTACTTCTGCCTTCCTGCCACCTTGCTCCTCTTTCTCCTAGTTCCTTGGCTTTAATTGAGCCCACCCAAAAAGTTAAGAAGTAATTTTTCCCCATATTTCTCTTCCCCATTAATGGCCCTTTTCCATCTTTTAAGGTTCAAGTTCCTGTCTTTCTCCATCTTCTTTTGGCTTCTCACGAACATACAACTCTCCTCAGTTCTCTGTCACATTACTGACTTACAGTATTCCCATCCCTCAACCTACAACCAGATCTAGATTTAATCAAATGAATAGCTTCAAAGTGTAATTTTAAATACCATTTCATGCTCCTTAATTAGGTGAAGATTCATATGAATGGGATTTGAGCAGCTAGCTTCACCATCAGACAACACTAAATAACCCTGCTATTTAAGATGCCTTTTCCCATGTGAACAAATGTGCATTGGGAATGGGTGAAGGCTTTTGGATTAAGGGATGTGATGGGAAGGTCTCACCTTGGCTCAGAGACAGGAACATCAGGCAGGATCTCAGAATCAAGCATGAGTTTGCACGTGCCATTCTGAGCAATCAAAAATCTTTTGCTGAAGGCACAATCAGAAATCTCTGTAGGAAAACACAGGGGAGGAAGTTCGGAGAAAAGGATTGAAGAGCTCTTTGTACCTTCCTTACTGTCCTGTTTCTCTGAGTTCCTAAGCGTTAGAAAGCCCCACTGGAACATCCACAAGCTCAAATACTTCTCTTGGTAGTCTGGACCCAGTTACCCAAAGACATTTTTGTCTTCTGTTGAGACCTCATTACTATTGGAATTTCTGAGAAAGAAAATTATACGGGAATCACTCCCAAGATGTGAGAGTAGCTCTGCAAGTCAGTGTTCTTTCTCCTGTATCAAATGCTCACCTGCTGACTGGGTCTGGAATGGCTCTCAGGACAGGCAGTGACCAGACCTTCACAAAATGATCTAAGTGAGGAGCCCCAGCATGTAACCAAACTGGGGGTGGGAGAGTGTCAAGAGGACAAGGTCAGAAACTCCAGAAGGAACTGAGGCCAAGGCAACCAGGCACTTCTTCCTGGCATTCACTGGGAACAGTTGCAGATAAAGCCTCTTCCTGAAAATAGTCTGCAACGTTTCCAAGGCAAAGGTGCCTTTGTCCTTTCTCTGATGGCACTCAGATGCCCAGTTCCCATGGAAGCAGCCAAAGAAGTTTTCAGGAACCTTTCAGGAACCTTAAGGACTTGTGGAAAAAAGCGTTCAAGGGAAGGAAAGGGGAGGGGCTTTTTGAGTCTGGATTAAGGTTAACTAGGTAAATAAGTAAGACAAAAGAAAAATAGGCAGGGCAAGGAACTCTGATAGCTTAGTGGTTATAAATCGGGCTGCTAATCTCAAGGTCAGCAGTTTGAAACTGCCAGCAGTTCCGCGGGAGAAAGATGAGGTTTTCTGCTCCCATAAAGATTCACAGCCTCAGAAACCCTATGCAGGATCGCTAAGGATCAGAATCAACTCGAGGGCATTTAACAGCAACAATAACAATAGGATGTGGAGCATTCTTGCTTGCACGAAAAAGAGAACACCAAATGATTTTCTTGGCCTGCTCACACATTTGCTGTAGAGGCCTCCTCTCCTGGCATGAACATGCTATAGAAAGAACAATGTAGGTGTGATGTGAAAGAGATAGTTATTTTGCCTTACCCCTTTGCCACTCCAAATTTAATAAATCTTTTCTGAGTAACTTCAGAATTGTCAGATGATGATTTCAATGGTTCATGCAGTCTAATAAACTTTTTAAATTGTTAAGTATACATCTGTCATTCTTCCAAGCACTTGATATTGACAATCAAACCTAAAACTTTAATTTTCTATACACTTAATGCATTTTAGAACATCATTTCCTGGACTGGATTGCTTATACATGTCATCTTTCAGATGGCACAATGCTTTACTTAAGCTCTCAGCTGCTAACTAAGAGGTTGGTGATTTGACCTCACACACAGGCTCTGATGTGGGTCAGCAGTTGGAAACTACCAGCTGTTCCACGGGATAAGATGAGGCTTTCTGCTCCCATAAAGATTTACAGCCTCGGAAACCCTGTACAGGGTCGCTGTGAGTCGGAACCAACTCCACGGCACATAACAACACCAGGAACATAGGCTTTGATGTGGTGCTATGGGTTAATGCGTCAGACTGCAAAGCCGTTTGAACTGCAAGGTCAAAAGTTCAAGCTCTGGCTTTGTGTTTGCAGACTCTCTATTTTCAGTCTTATAGGTTTGTTTTACTTTAAGTACTTCTATATCTGTATTGAGTTCTGGGTGCTGTTATCATGTCTGACTACATCTTCCCACAGATGTAGTCAGTTTGATTCCTGTGTATTCTATTGGCAACCTTCACTTGTGTAGTCACCATTTATACTACTGAAAAATATGCTTTCAATGAATACATTTGTCTTACAAAATTTATTTTGCTGCCTCCTATGTTATTTCTATCATGATGGTCACATTTTCCAAATACCTAGCCTTCCTCTTTGTTCTCGACTTTTGCATTCCTAACACCAATAACATGCATCTTTATTTTGTGTTTGATCAATTTTAGATTGCAGAAGTTGGTAGAATAATTGTTTTTCTTCATCACTGGACTTGGGGGTTGGTGCATATATTTGAATAATAGTTCTATTAACTGACCTTTCTTGTTGTTGTTGTTGTCAGGTGCCATCGAGTCGGAACCGACTCATAGCGACCCCATGCACAGCAGAACGAAACAATGTCCGATCCTGGGCCAACCTCACTACTGCTGCCACACCCGAGTCCATCAATGATGCCACCTGGCTGATCCATCTCATTGGGGGTCTTCCTCTTTTTCTCTGACCCTCCACCCTACCCAGCATGACATCCTTCTCCAGCGATTGTTTCCTCTGGATAATATGTCCAAAGTAGGAGAGACGAAGTTTAGCCATCCTGGCCTCCAAGGAGCACTGTGGCTGCACTTCCTCCAAAACAGATTTATTGGTTCTTTTGGCAGTCCATGGCACTTTCAGTACTCTCCTCCAACACCACAACTCAAAGGCATCAATTCTTCTACGATCCTCCTTATTCACTGTCCAGCTTTCACATCCATATGAGGCTATTGAAAACACAATGGCCTGTGTCAGGCGCACCCTAGTCCTCAAGCTGACATCTCTACTCTTCAACACTTTAAAAAGTTCCTGTGCAGCAGACCTTTCTTGTAGGTGTATAGATATTATCCTATGCCAGACCGTATTGCGTTTCAAGACAGATCTTAAAATCGTCTTTTTGAGGTTTAATGTGATATTATTACTCTTGAATTTGTCATTCCCAGCATAATAAGCCATATGATTATCTTATTTTAGTTCACTAATGCCTAGAATATTAGTCTTTCTTTCTTCGATATCATTATTTATGACTTCCAATATTCCTTGATTCATACATTTTATGTTGCCTGTTAATGGATGTTTGCAGTTGTTTTGTCACATTTTAAGTTGTATCCCATCCATGTCACTAAAGTCAGCTCTTCCTTAGTCATTTTTTAAAAATTTTTACTATGAATTGAGTGAAGGTTTACAGACAATTTAATCAGTTTTATATTTAACAAATCATACACTTTGCTTCATCTCAATGATTACAATCCCCTCCTTGCGACAGCAGTTTCCCATTTCCTCCCTGTGCTTCCTATTTTCATTCCACCTTCCTTCCCTTCCCTTTTCCAATTTGCCCTTTGGTAAATGTTGTTCTTTTGATTGTGAATAAATGGCCCTCCAGTATACCTGTTGTTTGGTTGAAAATTGGGCCACAAGGGTGAGTTCCTTTCCAGACCTGAATGGTGGTCAAGAGCCATACTCTTGGGCTATTCCGTTCTCTTTCTGACCAGTAATTTTAGCAATTAATTTAAAAACTCTGTTTTCTCTGGAAATCTGCTTGACTATTTTGTCATATGGAAGGATTGAAGATGTCAAAGATATCAATTAATTTGGATATGTAACCAATGCTCATGGAAGTAGTAGGCAAGGAATCAAACAATGCATTGACAAATCTGCTGCAAAAGACCTCTTTCATGTATTAAAGAGCAAAGATGTCAGTTTGAGTACTAGCCTTTGAGTACTAAAGGCCTATGGTCTTTCAATTCCCTCATATGAATGTGAAAGTTGGAACTGTAGTAAGAAAGACCAGAGAAAAACTGATGCATTTGAGTGATGGTGTTGACAAAAAATATTGCATTGGCAAAGAATACCATATCAGTCAGAACAAATCTGTTTTGGAAGAAGTACAGCCAGAATTCTCTTTGGAAAGAAGAATGGAAAGTCTTTGCCTCATGTACTTTAAAGAAACTATCAGGACTCTCAAGTCGCTTCATAGAAGCACCAGTACAACATGTAAAGATACACAACTTCAAAATAAACTAAAATTTGGCTTAATATTGAGTGAGTAGAGGTTATTAGAAGATTTAGGGAGAAGAGGAACCAACTCTCTGTACAATGGAGAAACATGACAGCTAGGTGGTGTAAAACAGGATAGTAACTGTCAGAGCAAGAAATGACCTTTCACTCCCTGTAGCAACATAAGAGAGAGGTCTCCATCCTTCCTTTTACAACCTGGGTGCAGAGAAATAGCTGCAGTCATGCTAGAGGCTTCCAAGAAGTCAGTGAAGAGATACAGTCTAAGGCAAGCAGGGACTTGGGACTAACAACAATAAAACTGAGAAACAATCATCTTACTGTGTTGATAGGCAGTTTCAAAGACTATCATGGAGTGGAATTCTAAATGCTGGACCAAATAATGAAATTTTGAATATAGTGTAAAGTGCTGTAGGATCCCTCAAGAAAAGGAATTAAGTCGTATTGCCCTAGGAGGATGGACTTTATAGAATGACGTTTCCTAGGTTTTTTCTGTGTTGGGGGAAAGATCACATACTTGATGTTTTGTATTTCATTTTACTACACTATATGTTTTAATACATTATTGCTGTTGTTAAGTGCCATTGAGTTTGTTCTGACCCATAGAGACCCTGTATAGGGTTTCATGGAGTGGCTGGTTAGCTTGAAGCACTTCTTAGCAAATTCATGGCCAGGAAAGGAAGTCACCACAGAAATATGTGAGCAGGCCAAGATCAAGCAAGAACGCTCCACATATTATTGCTCTGGCCCTTTTCCCTGTGTTCTACCAGTAACACTAATCTAGGCTCAAACAGTCCCTCTCCTGTCTCCCTCCACCCTCCACTTCCCACACATTGTCAAGATTCCTAGAAGTTCTCTACTCCTTCCTTGGCTGCTTCCATGGGAACTGGACATCTGAGTGCAGCTAGAGAAAGGGCAAAGTGCACCTTTTACAGACCTGTTTTTGCAAAGTTTACAGACCTGTTTTTGGAAAACGACTTTATCTGCAATCAATGCCAGGAAGAGATCTTTCAATACCATAACTATCTGTTTGCTTTGGCCTCAGTTTTTACTAGCGCTTCTGGCCTTACCTTTGACACTCCCCACCCCCCACCTTGATTGCCTGTTTGGATTCCTCTCTCAGATCTTGTGAAAAAGGACTGTTTACTGCCTGTCTTG